AGGAGTGGGAAGGGAATGGTGTCATGGTAAGCAGACAAACCTCAAGGAGCCAGACATGATAGCTGGAATCGAGAACAAAATCAAAGCCAAAGAGCTCACATGAGTTCTTTCGGCTTTCAATTACATCCTGAGCACAGGTAAGCACCCAAGTAACAATCTGCTTGATCTTGGGCTGGATGGTATTCCTCCACATGTCTTTCGAGCCGAACGTCTCTCGTAAGTGATCTTCAAAGAAGGACACCATAGCATGATTGCTTTCACCTACATCATGTATGCCAAAATTGGGACTACAAATGACCGAGAAATTTGGAAAAAGAGAACATGAAAAGCCAATAAACCACCATGACAAGTCAATCACAGTTTGCATGTGTCACAACAAGGACAAATCAACAACGACTGCATGGCACGAGAGAAAAGGACGGTAGGCAGACACATACCAAAATGGTGAACAAATGGCCAGACGAGCATACATGCAGAGACACAGCACACAAATGGAAAAATGGACAAGCAGATAGGCTGGTAGAGACAGACTGAAGAAATGGGCAAACGAACAGACAGCCACACAGGAACAGAATATGTCGACAAATCAATGGACACACAACCAGATGAATAGATGTGGTGAAAGGTTCATGGAGGCTGAGACATAAAGTGAAACAGAGAAAAGAGCAAATAAAGACACAGATGCATGCGCGCGCGCAACTCATGAGTTCTCAAGAGGCTCTGCTGTCAGAGTTCTTGAAACAACATGAATTACGTAGTATAAGGTCAGAGATTACTCGTCTGACACGGCAATGAGTTTACCACTTTCATCGGTGAACAACCGAACCCTTGGAACCTCGACCTTCCACCATTACTGATGGGGTAAGACTATGTCTTCACCATATTCACTACAGTCACCTGTAAGAACTTTGAGTTAGTCCGTCGCACACTCAAGGCCAGCGAACGAAGTGGGCGCTCGAACTCCAAAACTGCTTGCTGGAGGCAGCACCCGCATTTGTACTCGAGCAGATGCTTCGTGTCTGATCTATCGCCAGAGTGGAGCCAAAGGCGCAACGGAAAGCAGAGGCCTCTCTTAAATACGCGCAGCTAACTAAATGCCATAAAGGCCGCACGTACTCGGGCTTGGTTGGTGGTGATTTGTATATTGTTATGAGCCTGGCCAATTTCGAGATACACATTCATCAGATAGTACAATGCCGTCCAATTGCATAAAGAACTGAATGAACTTGAGAGGAGGGAGAAGATTAGAAGAAGAAGAAGAAGTAAGAAAGAAGAAGACGATGATGTACACCAGCATAGGCAAATGATAAAGCTCTTCTTCTTCGCTCAACCCTCTCTTCCTCCTTATCTCCTCCTCTCTTATTCACACAAGAAATAATAATACAATGTTGAATAGCTGAACCAGAATCAAAGTCCGAATCCCTCTTCTACTGCAGGTATCATTTGAGGTCCACCATAGCCATGGCCGCCTGTTACATGCTGCACATGCACACACGGGCCATTTTGCAGGCCCAACGTCGTTCAGGCCAAAAACCTGAATTTCGGGCTTTAAGCCTGATATCCAAGGCTTACAGGCCCCGCCGACGGTTCAGCCTGACAGCCCGAGAAAGGACCTACAGGCTCCAGCCTGTTTCCCTACAGGGAAACTTCCAGGCTCTTGCCTGAAAGCTTCCTTCTGACAGGGCCTACAGGCCCCAGCCTATTTCCCTACAGGGAAACTTCCAGGCTCTTGCCTGGAAGCTTCCTTCTGACAGGGCCT